AACAGGAACAATTGCATTAGATTCAGTTTAAGTGCAAGTTTCTTTGAATGAAGTAATTCACAGAGCTCAAAGGCAAAGCTAGAAGGAAGGTAGCTTTGGGTGACTCTGTCGAAACAACCCCTGAGTAAGGTCTTTTTCATAGGCTCATATGGACTTATGGACTGCTTCTTTTTTTTTGAGATGGAGTCTCTGTTGCCCAGTCTAGAGTGTAGAGGCGTGATCTCAGCTCACTGCAACCTCCGCCTCCCAGGTTCAAGTGATTCTCCCACTTCGGCCTCCCAAGTAGCTGGGATTACAGGTGCCCGCCACTGCCTTCAGCTAATTTTTTTTTTTTTTTTTTTTTTTTTTTTTTGAGACGGGGTCTTTCTCTGTTCCCCAGGCTGGAGTGCAGTGGCAAAATCCCAGCTCACTGCAACCTCTGCCTCCCAGGTTCAAGGGATCCTCCTGCCTCAGCCTCCGAGTAGCTGGGACTACAGGGGCCCGCCACCACGCCGGCTAGTTTTTTTTGTATTTTTAGTAGAGACAGGGTTTCACCATGTTAGCCAGGATGGTCTCGATCACTCCTGACCTCGTGATCCACCCGCCTCGGCTCCCAAAGTGCTGGATTACAGGCTTGAGCCACCGCGCCCGGCCTTTTTTTTTTTTTTTTTTTAAGACAGAGTCTTACTCTGTCACCCAGGGCTAGAGTGTAGTGGCTAGATCTTGGCTCACTGCAACCTCTGCCTCCTGGGTTCAAGTGATTCTCCTGCCTCAGCCTCCCGAGTAGCTGGGACTACAGGTGCCTGCCATCATGACCAGCTAATTTTTTTATTTTTAGTAGAGATGGGGTTTCACCATGTTGGCCAGGCTGGTCTTGAACTCATGACCTTAACTGATCCTCCCACTTCGGCCTCCCAAAGTGCTGGAATTACAGGCATGAGCCACTGTGCCCGGCCTGGACTGCTTGTGAACGACCATTTTACAGCCTGCCATGTATTTACTTCCTCTACAAAGATCTTTGTGATTCTTTCACAGTCTTCTCTACAGTCCCTCATTTAATTGAAATTACTCATTTATGATCCTCTTTTGTTTAACATTTATTACTTGTGTAGCACTTACTAAACATCAGTCTCCTAAGTGCATGACATATATTAATTCAGTTATTTCACACAATAACTGCATTAGGTAGGTACTATTATATATGTTTATTTATCAGGAGGTATTTTTTTATCCATGTACGAAAGAATGGTTAGGAAAAGACTGGAGACCAGGCACAGTGGCTCAGGCCTGTAATCCTAGCACTTTAGGAGGCCGTGGTGGGAGGATTGCTTGAGCCCAGGAGTTCAAGACCAGCCTGGGCAACACAGCGAGACCTCATTGCTACAAAAAAAAAAACAAAAAAAAAAAAAAAAAAACCCAACATTAGAGGCTGGGCGCAGTGGCTCACGCCTGTAATCCCAGCACTTTGGGAGGCTGAGACGGGTGGATCACCTGAAGTCAGGAGTTCGAGACCAGCCTAGCCAACAACGGTGAAACCGCATCTCCACCAAAAATACAAAAATTAGCTAGACATGGTGGCGGGCGCCTGTAATCCCAGCTACTCAGGTGGCTGAAGCAGGAGAATTGCTTGAGCCCGGGAGATGGAGGTTGCAGTGAGATAGGATCGTGCCACTGCACTCCAGCCTGGGCGACAGAGTGAGACTCCATTTCAGAAAAAAAACCAAAAAAACCTAACATTAGCGGGGCGTGGTGGCACATGCCTATAGTCCCAGGAGGCTGTGGTGAGAGGATCACTTGAGCCCTGGAGGTTGAGACTGCAGTGAGTTGTCATCATGCCCACCTGGGCACCAGAGAAAGGGTCTGTCTGCCACCCTCCCACCCCAGGCCCCACCAAAAAAAAAGGAAAAGAAAAAAGAACTATAGCCTCACTGAAATCTTGGGCCACTTCAGTTAGGTAGTGACAGTCCCACGACTAACTTGGGTCTCCTGACTCCTGTCTACGGGACTTTCTGCTAACACTCACCTTCTAACTCCAGTTCCACCTGTCCCACGTCAAAAACCCTAATTTCAGCGTCTCCGGGTTGGGGTCCAGGTGCCTCACCGTCCCTTTTGTTTGTGCCGCACGCTCACCCGGGTGAGGCCGTTGGGTAGGGCAGGTGCATGGGGCACCTGGGGTGGGGGATGGACGTGTTCACTGCAGGCGCCAACCGCATGCACACAATGCTTGCCTGCAGGCCTCGCCACCCAGGGTGGGTATGGAGCACCACAGTCTTTTGCATAACTACAGTTCTGGCTCTGGATTTTCCGCCATTGCGACTGTGGCCGAGGCAGAGGCACCAGCTCACAACGGCGCTCAGCCAAGGGCAGTCTGGGTCGTTCCTGCCACTTGAAGGACTGGGGTGGCCGGGCTAAGGACCTGGAGGAGAAGTGCCCTGTGCCCTGGTGTGCCCACTCCCAAAGCCTTTCTTCCCCATCCCAGGAAGCAGCCCTGAGTAGTGGTTTGTGCCCCGGTGTTGGTTCTGTTCTGCGGCCCAAGTTCTGTCCGCGGTCTAGGAAGGAGCCACCTAATACCAAGGGTCTGTGAGCGGGAGTGCCCACTGGACAGGGGTCCCCAGCTCTGGGCAGAGGGAAGGCTTGGACCTCAGGCGGGCTCAACACACCCTTAGCTGGTCAGCGTGGGGACCAAGTGTGGTGTGGCTGCAGACGGCCAAGGAAAAGGAGAAGGGTCGAAGAGCAGCTACCTCCTACCTCCCGTTTGCTCTGTCTGGCACAGGGGCGCCAATCCCTGGAAGTGGAGAGAAGCACTTTAACTTCAAGTCTGAAGTTGAGAAAACTTCAGGCTTCACCTTGTACCCCAGTGAATGGCTAAACTAGCAAATCGACGGTCACTGTCTGATGTGTCCCACGGACATACCATTTGTCCCTCACCATGTTTTCGGTATCTTTGAGGCAACATTAAAAATTGGATTTCAGGCCAGTCTCAGTGGCTCACATCTGTAATTCCAGCACTTCGGAAGGCTGAGGCAGGAGGACCACCTGAGGCCAGGAGTCAAGGACAGCCTGGGCAACACAGTGAGATCCGTCTCTACAAAAAATAAAAATGATGAGGCAGGAAGATCGCTTGAGCCTGGAAAGGCTACAGTAAGCCCTGACTGCAAAGTGCATTCCAGCTGGGTGATGGAATGAGACCCTGTCTCAAAACAAAACAAAACAAAACAAAACACCATCATCATCTATCCTCTTTCCTGTGTCCTGTTTTTTTTTTTTTTTTGAGATGGAGTCTCGCTCTGTTGCCAGGCTGGAGTACAGTGGTGCGATCTCCACTCACTGCGACCTCTGCCTCCTAGGTTCAAGCTATTCTCCTGCCTCAGTCTCCCAAGTAGCTGAGATTATAGGCATGCGCCACCACACCTGGCTATTTTTTTTGCATTTTTAGTAGAGATGGGGTTTCACCATGTTAGCCAGGATGATCTCAATCTCTTGACCTCACGATCTGCCTGCCTCGGCCTCCCAATGCACTGGGATTACGGGTGTGAGCCACTGTGCCTGGCCTTTGTTTTTGTTTTTGAGATGAAGTCTCATTCTGTTGCCCAGGCTGGAGCGCAGTGGGAAAATCTTGGCTCGCTGCAACTTCTGCCTCTCAGGTTCAAGTGATTCTCCTGCCTCAGCCTCCTGAGTAGCTGAGATTACAGGCACCCACCACCACATCCAGTTAATTTTTGTAACTCCTGACCTCAAGTAATCCACCGCCTTGGTCTCCCAAAGTGCTGGGATTACAGGTGGCAGCCACCGCACCTGGTCTCTTGTGTCCTTTTTGAGAACAGGGGAAGTCAAGAAATATCCCAACAGATGGCCTAAACGTCTCATTAGCTAAATTGTAACACTTACCCATCTAAAAAAACCCAGCATGGTGTTAAACCAAGACGGGCATTAAGACTCACTTCCGGTGGTGCGCAGTGGCTCATGCCTGTAATCTCAGCACTTTGGGAGGCCGAGGTGGATCACCTGAGGTCAGGAGTTAGAGACCAGCCTGACCAAAATGGTGAAACCCTGTCTCTACTAAAAATACAAAAAAGTAGCACTCCATCCTGGGCAACAAGAGCAAAATTCTGTCAAAAAAAAAAAAAAAAAAAAAAAGGACTCACTTCCTGGAATTAGGGCAAAAAAGGACAAGCACATAGACAGGGAGTAACTGAATGTCAACAAGGTTCTGATGGAAAAGAGGAAGCAAGCCGATGGCGGTGGGCAGGGGAACAGATTTGGGTATAAAAATAAAGTGTTAAAAGCACTATTTACACCAGCCCGGTGGCTCACGCCTGTAACCCCAGCACTTTGGGAGGCTGAGGCGGGCTGATCACCTGAGGTCAGGAGTTTGAGACTAGACTGGCTAACATGGTGAAACCCTGTTTCTACCAAAAATACAAAAAAAGTTAACTGGGCATGGTGGCGCATGCCTGTCATCCCAACTACTCTGGAGGCTGAGGCAGGAGAATCGCTTGAACCCAGGAGGTGGAGGTTGCAGTGAGCCGAGATTGCACCACTGCACTCCAGCTTGGGCAATAAGAGTGAAACCCTGTCTCAAAAAAAAAAAAAAAAAAAAAAAAAAAAAGCAAAGCAGTACTTAAACTTTTTTTCAAGACAGAGTCTCGCTCTGTTGCTCAGGCTAGAGGGCAGTGGCACGATCACAGCTCACTGTGGCCTCCTCCCACCTCAGCCTCCCAAGAAGCTGGTACTAAAGGTGCGCACCACCAAACCTGGCTAAATTTTTGTATTTTTTGTAGAGATGGGATTTGAATGTGTTGCCCAGGCGGGTCTCAAAACTCCTGGGCACAAGCAATCCACCCACGTTGGCCTCCCAAAGTGCTGGGATTACAGGTGTGAGCCACTGTGCTGGCCTCTTAGTTTTCAAAATTCTTGACAGTAATTCACAGAAGGACATATATTTTATATAATCATCTTCTACACATACACACATTCATGTAACTGAGTTTCATGAAACATACTATGTAGAAAAATAAAAACCTAATTGCAAATATAATTTTATTAACATTTAAATACAATATACTGCAAAATCCCTTTAAAAGTACAGATATAATTTTTTTTTTGTTTTGTTTTTGAGATGGAGTCTCACTCTGTTGCCCAGGCTGGAATGCAGTGGGATTATCTCAGCTCACTGCAATCTCTGGTTTAAGAGATTCTCCTGCCTTAGGCACCCAGGTAACAGGGACTGCAGCCATGTACCACCACGCCTGGCTAAGTTTTGTATTTTTAGTAGAGATGGGGTTTCACCATGTTGGCCAGGCTAGTCTCGAACTCCCAATCTCAAGTGATCTGCCCACCTCCGTCTTCCCAGTGCTGGGATTACAGGCGTAAGCCACCACACCCGACTAAACACAGAATTTTGTAAAGATTTTATTTAATGTGATGGGTGTGCTTGTCTGTTCATAAGTTCCTTCCAGTCAGGAACACATGAAGATAACGCTACCCGCATGTCCGGTGCACTGTTGAGCCTATTTCTCTTCTTTGTTTTTAATCGTGTCAAGATTGAAAATCCTAGTTCACACAAATAAGTAGTTGTGAATGGTAGTAACAGCGATATACTCTTCCTACTTAGCAGTGGAAATTCATCTTTAATCTTAATCCAAAATGCTGATAAACTTAATGTCTTATAATAATTCTTTAGTGTGAATGATGAACTGAGCTGCAATAATTCATTCTCTTCTTCAGGCTCCAAGTTTAACTTAATTATTGATGCTGGGTTTTGAAAAGCAAATGGATCTTTCATCCAAATATTTTCCTTTAATGATTCAAATTTCTCTTCTGGAAAGTAATAATTAAAAGTTTGAGACAAAGAAGTGAGATGCAACAATATCTCTAATTTTATTTCTTTTAAGCAGTCTTCGTTAATAATGTTCTCTTCGATGTGTTGCAATAATGTTGGAAACATATAGTAGCTAGGGCGGTTACTTTTAAGTCTTGCTTGCCAAAATAATAATGTCTTTTGGAATCCTAGAATATGTTCAAGATACTGAAATATATCATTGTTTTTCCCCTGTATTTTCAGGTTTAATTCATTAAGAATGCCAAAAATATCACTTAAATATGCCAATTTGGTTACCCAAATGTCGTTTTCAAAAATATTTGCCAAATGAGATTGCTTTTCAATGAGAAAAATGTAAATCTCATTCCTGAGTTCATATACTCTGCTCAATACTTTTCCTTGAGAAAGCCAACGAACTTCTGTATGAAACAATAAGTGGGTATGGTTAACTCCAATCTCTGAACAAAGTATTTCGAGAAGTCGGCTATTCAGTGAGCTTCCTTTAATAAAATTAACAATTTTCACTGCCTTTTTCAATACATCCATTAGACTTGGTGAAATTTCTTTGGATACCAAAGCTTCTCGATGAATAAAACAGTGATTCCAAAGAGCATTGTTGTGGGTTGCTTCTAACAATTTTTCAGTAAGTCTGCTGTGTTTTCCGGTCATATTGGCTGCTCCATCACTTGAAATTCCTTTACAATGTTTCCAGTTTAATTTATACTGACCAACAATGCAGTTTTCTAATTCAGTAAATAAATCTAATCCAGTTATATGTGAATTTAAATTTAAACAACATAAGAGATCCTCTACGAAATCATCTTGCCACACATATCTGACATAGACCAAGAGTGTGGGACAACTTGCAATATCAGTGCTCTCATCAAGTTGGATTGCAAAGTTTATACCAGACTGCAGCCGTGTAATAAGCATTGCTTCCAAATGTTTTGCAATCGTACAGATTCGACGAGATATTGTATTATCACTAAGAGGTATAGTTCTTAGTTTATTAGCTGATTTGTCATCAAAAATTGTCCGTACCATGTCCATACATGCTGGAAGGATAATTTTTTCAGCCGCCGTGTGAGCCATTTTCTCCTTTGCTACTCTATATGCAACTAAATATGATGATAATAAGGCTCTCTCATTCATGGTTGTAGAGCGACTGAGAACTTGTGGCGATGACTCTACTTTGTTTCTTTGCTTTTGAAAATGGTCTTCTTCATCTTCCTCCTCCACCTTCACTACCACGATGCCTTCCATCTCCTGGGTACCCCATGGAGACAAATCTGTAGTATCCCTTGATTCAGGAGTCATTATTCAGGTTCCAGGAACTGGCTCACTTGATCCAAATAGCGTCTGTTTTGCAGGGCTGTCCTTTGTGACCTAGGTTTTATGAGATCAGGCTTTGCTATCCTGCAAGGTAGAAAAACGTAACAGCAGTATTAAAAAGCAACATGGTATGGCTGGGCTGCTAACAACTCATACAAAACAATTCACTAAATGTAGTGGTGTGACATGGTAAATGATGAGTAACTGTCATTCATGTTGTCTGTGTGTGTCAGGGAGATTTGGCATACTATATACACCACTCATTTAATACCCAGGGAAACCTAATGAAGTTCACATAATTACTATTCTTATATTATAGATGAAAAATAAAACTTCAGAAAGATTAAATGTGTCTAACAACCCACAGTAAGTACAGAACTAGCACTCAAATCCAACTCTGAAGCCAGTGTCCTAAATGTGCTGCTACACTGCCAACTCTAAAAAGTGATCTGGTCATTCTTTTTTTTTTTTTTTTTTTGAGACGGAGTGTCGCTCTTGTTGCCCAGGCTGGAGTGCAATGACGTGATCTCGGCTCACGACAACCTCTGCCTCCCAGGTTCAAGTGATTCTCCTGCCTCTGCCTCCCAAATAGCTGGAATTACAGGCCATGTGCCACCACACCTGTCTAATTTTGTATTTTTAGTAGAGATGGGGTTTCTCCATGTTGGTCAGGACTGGTCTTGAACTCCTGACCTCAGATGATCCACCTGCCTCAGCCTCCCAAAGTGCTGGGATTACAGGGGCATGAGTCACTGTGCCTGGCTGATCTGGTCACTCTTTTTTTTTTTTTTTTTTTTGAGACGGAGTCTTGCTCTGTCGCCCAGGCTGGAGTGCAGTGGCCGGATCTCAACTCACTGTGGCCTGGTGGTGTTCTGTTTTCAGTTCAGTGGAACAATTTAATGTCTCCTAAAGGAAATGTTCTTCCTGGAAATGAGAATCATAACCCAGCTGGGTTTTCACTAAGGAGGCAAGACTGATTTTGGAACTCCTGGCCTCGTGATCCGCCCGTCTCGGCCTCCCAAAGTGCTGGGATTACAGGCTTGAGCCACCGTGCCCGGCCTCTGGTCACTCTTAAAAATGATCATCAAAGTAGGGTATACAATATGATCCACTGGGGCATAGGGAAAAAAATTAGAACTTGTATTTATTTCTTAAAAATAAGAAATTAAGCTGTATAATTAGTATTATGAATACTGAAACATGTTCATGTTACATAGATCCATGAATTATTCTGGAGAGAGAATGAGATTTCTACAACACACGGGATTGAGAAAACACCCTCATTTGTTTGTTTGCTTTTAGTACACTGCAATATTTCACCATTCATGTGAGCTTAGTGGATTTAAAGATACTGCCTGACTTTACTAAATGAGCCCCATTTTTTCTTCTCCTTTTTGAGACGGAGTCTTGGTCTGTCGCGCAGGCTCGAGCGCAGTGGCACAATCTTGGCTCACTGCAACCTCTGCCTTCTGGGTGCAAGTGATTCTCCTGCCTTGGCCTCCTGAGTAGCTGGGATTACAGGCGCCCGCCACCACGCCCAGCTAATTTTTTTTTTTTTTTTTTTAGTAGAGACAGGATTTCACCATGTTGGCCAGGCTGGTCTCGAACTCCTGACCTCGTGATCCATCCGCCTTGGCCTCCCAAAGTGCTGGGATTACAAGCGAGAGCCACCGCACCTGGACAACGAACCCCATCTTTTCTTTGGTACCACTCAGCCTCTCAAAAATGCAAGTAACTTTCTGTATGTTGGTGGCACAACTGGAAATGAACATGGGGCAGTAGGTTTTGCCTAGCTGAATGTTAAATTCAGTCTACCAGTGAATTCCAAAATTGGAAGAGACCTTGAGATAATCTATTTTACTTAGGACACGTTTGAGACTTGGTGGGTCTATGTGTTCCACCCAAGAACATCAATGGCAGAACTGGTACCATTCGCCAATGGTCTGCTGCATCGTCCACAAATTCCCTTCTCTCCTTTACCCCTCAGTGTAAAATAAAGCACTGATACTTCCCACAACTGAAAACCTCCCATGCCCGAAACTGCTCATTTAAAACCCTTCCTGGCAGGGTGCGGTGGCTCACGCCTGTAATCCCAGCACTTTGGGAGGCCAAGGCGGGCGGATCACCTGTGGTCCGGAGTTTGAGACCAGCCTGGCCAACATGGTGAAACCCCGTCTCTACTGAAAGTACAAAAATCAGCCGGGCATGGTGGCGAGCGCCTATAATCTCAGCTACTCAGGAAGCTGAGGCAGGAAAAGCTTGAACCCTGGCGCTGGAGGCTGCAGTCAGCCGAGATTGCGCCACTGAACTCCAGCCTGGGCGACAGAGCAAGACTCCGTCTCAAAAAACAAAAAACAAAAAACAAAAACAAAACAAAACAAAACAAAACAAAACAAAAAAACAAGACCACACACACACAAAACAAACACAAAATAAACAAACAAAAAACCCCTTCCTGTAGTCTTGAAACTGAAAGGGTGAAGTGTAAATAATCTTTCCCTATTACATCCAAATCACTTCTTTATTTCTTTGTAGGCTTCAAACGTTCTTTTTGTTTGTTTGTTTTTGAGAGAGAGTCTCACTCTGTCACCAGGCTGGAGTGCAGTGACACGATCTCGGCTCACCGCAACCTCCACCTCCTGGGTTCAAGCGATTCTCCTGCCTCAGCCTCCCAAGTAGCTGGGATTACAGGCGTGTGTCGCCACGCCTAATTTTCTGTATTTCTAGTAGAGACAGGGTTTCACTAAGGAGGCAAGACTGATTTTGGAACTCCTGGCCTCATGATTCGCCCGCCTAGGCTTCCCAAAGTGCTGGGATTACAGGCGTGAGCCACTGCGCCCGACCTTCACTCTAATCACCACCATAATGGTGGAGGGTTTGAGGGTGAACATATCATCCGCGGACACTGGCTTAACAAGCCCATCTGAATAAAAAAAATAATAACGCCAATGGCACTCGGTATCATGTAAGATCGCCCGAATTTTACAACTTGGGGTACATAGGAAACCAAAAACTCCCCACCACAAGAAAAACCAGTGGGGACAACTGGGGAGCAGAGATATCTGACTGGGGTCATTTTGTCCGCGCGTCTTTGGGGTAAAAAACCAGGACTAGGGGTCCAGAAGGGACACGCAGACCGCCTCTCCCCAGTCCCAGGAATGTCTCATTCCAATCCGGAAACCAAAACTTCGTTCCCTTCCCACCTGTATCCAGGGACGCCTCTGCTGAGGGACAGCGCTTGCCACCGCCGAGGCTGACGCGAGGGACAGGGGCACGGACCCGCTTCCACTCCGTCCGGGGCGGTCGTGGCTAGCGGATTGCAGGACACAGCCGTGCACGCCCAACTCTGTCCCCGCCCGGAGACGTCTGGGGTGCTGGGATAGAACCGGTTGTGACTTTGGGGACCAGGAGCGCTGGACTCAGATCTAGTCCCCCTGGACGTCAGAACCCAGGGAAAGCGTCACAAAAGTCGGAAGTGCGTCACACCCGCCTTCCGGAGCTGCGCTCCCCTTCGCGGTCCTCTCTAGGATCGCGGGAGGACTTAGCATTCCTGTGAAGCGCTCTAATCCCGGGTTTGGGGGTCGTGGTCCTCAGCTTGTCCGCTCTGAGGAGGTGCGCGGGGTGGGGAAAAAGGGACGAATTTCCTTTTATACCGCCCTGCTCAGATACTTATATATTCCTTCTATTTTTCTTAATGACAATAATTTTAATAGTTACAATAAAAATAGTGATTGTCTGTGGCAGAGGAGCTGAATGAAACGAGGGTGGAGACAGGATCAAGAATAAATGGCTTCACAAAACCAAGAGGTTGTCTCTTGAGATGCTGATTATGTATGTATTGCCAGTTGAATAGGTAGTATTTTCAAATATTTGATCTATAGGCAACAGACGTTCTTTCCAACACTAAATAGTTATAAAATTCTGAGTTTGCCTTATGTTTCCAGGGAGTTTTCAGATTAGCGACGGTGAAGAAATTTGAGGCGTTTTTGTTGTCAAAGTGTTATTGTAATAATTAAGGCTTCAATGATTGGATCAAGCATAACTTCACCTAACTGAAACCTTGAATGCTGTGACATGACTCTAAAAGTTTTGGGCAAGTCTGTGGTACGGCCCAACAAGAGAAAAGCCCACAAAAGGAACTGCTACCTGCTACAGAGCCTCTGATTACGTGGTATCCCGAATTACCTTCTAGGCCCTGACTAATGCTCCATTCCTTTTGGGGTTTGATCTTGCTGTGGTTGCCATTTTCTACTTCCCCATGAGTCTTCTCAGTAATCCACTTGACTGTGTCTTTGCTCCATATATATGTATTTTTTTTCCTCCTACGGCACCGTCAAGTCCAATCTTTGCTCCTTTATCACTGGCTGGCCCTCTAACCTATAGTCCTCCTTGATGACACCATAGTCTCAGAACTTACTCCTCCAGATACATCCTCATATTTCCTTCCAGTGTTCCAAGTCATCTCTAAGAGCCATTACATTGCTACGCACTGTATTTTTCTTGTCTAAAACAGTCTCTCCTCCCCACCCCTGTCCCCATTCCTACACTGAAGTGCCTAAAGGATCCAGGAAGGCAGATTACTGAATGCAGCTGACTGGGTATATGATTTTGTATTTATGTTGTGTGTGTGGCAGGAATTGTGGGCATCTCTATAACGACTCCTTTCTTTGCCTACGGACCTGCTGGCACAAGAAACTCAAAGTGGCCTGGTGGTGTTCTGTTTTCAGTTCAGTGGAACAATTTAATGTCTCCTAAAGGAAATGTTCTTCCTGGAAATGAGAATCATAACCCAGCTGGCTCCAGATTTCAGAGCTAGGAGGCACAAATTCTACAGGTGAGTGGCTGGGTGTGATAGTAATAGAGGCTACTCCTGTATGCACGTAGTTCTACTGGAGACACAATACTATATATCCATTTTGGCCCAGTGCATATCAGTGCATATACCATATCCTGAAGAACTGCTCCCAACTTTGCAAGGCATTACATCTTAGTCGGCAATTTAGCCCAGTCTTCAACAGGCCATTCCAAAGTCCTATCTGGCTAGCTGCTTCTGGATGATGAGTATGCACCATTAATTTTGTAGCTTCGAGTTCACTGTCACACCTCCTTGGTTATCAATGGGTTCCTTAGTTTCAGGTATGTCAATGGATAAAGCACCCTGTAAGCTCTCAGATGGTGGTACTGCTGGAGGCAAAGTAGTTGGGGAAGACAAGCTCATTTAGAGTATATATCATTTCTGGTAAGAACAAATTGATGCCCATTCCAAGGTAAAGGGGATCTGATGCACTCAACCTGGTGGTAGCTGGTATCCCCAAGACTGAGTGTTGGTCTCCAGTGCTGGCAGGCTGGACGCTCCACCATGGTGGGAGTTACATCAGCCTTGGTAAGAGGTAGCCCATATTGGCCGGGCACGGTGGCCCATGCCTGTAATCCCAGCACTTTGGGAGCCCAAGGTGGGTAGATCACAAGGTCAGGAGTTCAAGACCAGCCTGAGCAACATGGTGAAACCCCGTCTCAACTAAAAATACAGAAATTAGCTGGGCATGGTGGCATGCGCCTGTAGTCCCAGCTACTCGGGAGGCTGAGGCAGGAGAACTGCTTGAACCCAGCAGGCTGCAGTGAGCCGAGATCACACCACTGCACTCCAGCCTGGGCAACAGGGCGAGACTCCATCTCAAAAAAAAAAGAAAAATGAAAAAATAAGAGGTAGCCCATATTGTTGGGACCACACACAGCCTCTATCCCTGCTACCATGGTCTCTGTTCATAAGCCTATTGCATAAACAATAAGATGGCCCCTAACCAAAAAGCCAAGTCATTCATCACTGCCCAGGAGTCAATGCATATCCGTACCTTAGGCTACCTTCTCCAAAATATGGCATGGGTGACTAAATGTACCATTGCTCACTGAGGTAATTTCTCTTCACCAGTATGCTTCAGGGCAACTCAAGTGGGGCTGGAATGAAGGAACAGTCTGTTTCTGGAAGATGCCAACATGGTGAACTGACCCAATCTCCAATCTGTGAAGAGGCCAAGGCTCTTCTGTCTCCATCAGTTAGTTGTAGGGAACTTCTATAAGGCCATAGGTGTTAAGTTTATGGGAGAGGTGGCAGTAGAGCAGAGGTAAGTGACATGGGAGCTTGGAAACGTGTTTTTTTGGCCTTAGAAGGCATGACCTTGCTCCAGAATCTTAGGTATTTGTGCTGTGATTTTTTTTTTTTTTTTTTGAGACGGATTCTCGCTCTGTCGCCCAGACTGGAGTGCAGTGGCATGATCTCGGCTCACTGCAAGCGCCGCCTCCCAGGTTCATGCCATTCTCCTGCCTCAGCCTCCCGAGTAGCTGGGACTACAGGCGCCCACCACCACGTCTGGCTGATTTTTTGTATTTTTAGTGGAGATGGGGTTTCACCGTGTTAGCCAGGATGGTCTCAATCTCCTGACCTCGTGATCCGCCCGCCTCGGCCTCCCGAAGTGCTGGGATCACAGGAGTGAGCCACTGCGCCCGGCCTGCTGTGACTCTATTATGGGTTGAATTGTACCTCCACCTCATCCCCAATTAATATGTTGAAGTTCTAGCCTCTGATACCTCAGAATGTGATCTTATTTGGCAATAGGAGCGTTGCAGACGTAATTACTTAAGATGAGGTCATAGCGGATTAGGTTGGGTCCCTCATCTAATGACTGGTATCCTCATAAAAAAGGGAAGTTTGGACGTAGCAAGCAGGGAGAATGCCAAATGAAGATGAGGGTAAAGACTGGGTAAAGACAAGGAATGCAAAAGACATGCAGCAAACCCCCAGAAACTAGGAGAGAGGCATGGACAGATTGCTTCTCACAGCCTCAATAGGAACCACACCTTAATTTCTGACTTCTAACCTCCAGACTGTGAACCAACAGATTTCTGTTGTTTAAGCCACCCAGTTTGTGGTACTTTGTTATGGGAGCCCTAGCACACAAATGTACTCTCCTATTGGGGTTTGCCAGCGACTGCATACAGCACCTGTATCCATCAAGGATATTTCTGGAACCAATGAATTTGCAAGTAAGCTTGCACTGTTGCTTGAATTTACTATAGAGCTCTCTCTTGCCTCAATAAAAAGTGGAAGCTGCCAGGCATAGTGGCTCATGCCTGTAATCCCAGCACTTTGGGAGGCTGAGGTGGGTGGATTGCTTGAGGTCAGGAGTTCAAGATCAGCATGGCCAACATGGTGAAACTCCTCTTCTACTAAAATACAAAAATGCTGGGCGTGATGTCAGGCACCTGTAATCCCAGCTACTAGGGAGGCTGAGGCAGGAGAATTGCTTGAATCCAGAAAGTGGAGGTTGCAGTGAGCCGAGATCACAGCACTGTACTCCAGCCTGGGCTACAGAGCAAGCCTCTGTGTCAAGAAAAATAAATAAATAAATAAATAAATAAATAAATAAAAAGTAGAAGCCTTTTAGGTCACCTAATACATGTGTTGGAACAGTTTTCTCAGGTGCAGAATACGCTACCTCCCAAATCCAAAGGGTCCCACCAGGACCTGTACCAATTTCTTTGGGATTAGAGGGTGCAAAGTGGAACAAATTTTACCTTTGGGTGATGTCCCCAAACCACTGGACCCCACCAAAACTTCATCCATTTGGTAAGTGCCCATATCTTCAGGTTTCTGTACTGCCTTAGTAAGAAGTCTTACTAGGATATCTATGACCCTTGTCACTTGCTGCCCACTGGGTACTATTAGCATTTGTCATCAATATGTGGACCATCATGATGGTTGAGTAAAGTTCCTGCAGACTACACTGTGACAGAGAACAGGTCTCAGGATCCCACCCTCTCCCTGTATGAGCCACGACTTTGACTCAGGGGACCTGCCGAGTATGCACAATTGGTCTCCTTTGCATCACTGTCACTGTTATAAACAGATCCTCGGCCTAATTTTCAGCTTAGCTAGATGCAGAATTACCTTAGTAATTTATAAAACAGCTATTGTATGTATCTAGGCCTATTTCTGGACTTTTTTCTTCTTTAAGAAATTCACGCCGGGCGCGGTGGCTCAAGCCTGTAGTCCCAGCACTTTGGGAGGCCGAGGCGGGTGGATCACGAGGTCAGGAGATCGAGACCATCCTGGCTAACATGGTGAAACCCCGTCTCTACTAAAAATACCAAAAAACTAGACCGGCGTGGTGGCGGGCGCCTGTAGTCCCAGCTACTCGGAGGCTGAGGCGGAGCTTGCAGTGAGCCGAATCGGCGCCACTGCACTCCAGCCTGGGCGACACAGCGAGACTCCTGTCTCAAAAAAAAAAAAAAAAAAAAAAAAAAAGAAATTCACCCTGATATTTTTGGACTTTCTGTCTGCTCTATTGATTCTATTTGTCTATCTTTATGCTGATACCATGATCGTCTTGATTATTGGTAGCTTTAGGAAAAAATCTTAAAAGTATACAAGCATTCCAATTTTATTCTTTTTCAAATTGTTTTGGCAATTCTAAATCCTTAGCACTTCTCTATAAACTTTAGAATCAGTTTGTTAATTTGCACTAAAAAACAAAATAGGCTAGGTGCGTGGCTCACACCTGTAATCCCAGAACTTTGGGCGGCCAAGGTGGGGCCGGATCACCTGAGGTCAGGAGTTTGAGACCAGCCTGGTGAAACCCCATCTGTACTAAAAATACAAAAATTAGCCGGGTGTGGTGGCACCCGCCTGTAATCCCAGCTACTCTGGAGGCTGAGGCAGGGAAATCGCTTGAACCCGGGAGCTAGAGGTTGCAGTGAGCTGAGATCACGCCACTGCACTCCAGCCTGGGCGACAAAGCAAGACTCTGTCTCAACAACAACAAAACAAAAAAGAAAAAAGATAACAACTTTCTGAGCTGTTGCCACCGGTGTCATCTGGCAAACTGTTAAAAGAAAATTTTGCTCAAAAGCAAAATAGTAGCTTCTGTTTCTTAGGACTCTTTGTTATGTTTCGATGAGTATTGGTGGGAAGTGGCCTCTTTAAGTGGGTGCCTTTTGTGGTCCTCTCACTGGAGCTAATAGCCCCAGTCAGCTAAAACTTGGACGCAGTGTGCCTCTCTGCCATAGCTCACTCACCTCTGCTGCTGAAATGGTTTCCCATCACTTTGCTAATAGGTACAACCTGTGAAGGGTTCTGAGGTGGGGAAATGGCAACTCAGGAAATAACTCCAAACCTTTAGCTCTCCTAGCACATTAAAATAGCCGTTATGAAGAGGAGGAAGTACTGTGTCATCTATTGTCCTCGGGACCTGTCAATAGGAACGATAGCTAGACATCACCGGGGGTGTATTTCTATTCAACACAAGGAAAAGTTTCTAATTGGAGCCCTCCAGCATGAAATGGACTAAGCCGTGTATTTTCCTTCTCTGATCCTGACTCCACTGTGACGGGTACTGCACATTAGAGAGACTGTGTCATAGTATGAATTTAGGTTAGGTCGATACTTAGAGGGAAAGAGGGCAAAGGAATATCAGAATCTCCAAGAAGCTGATACAACTTGAAAAAATATATAAAATGCCACACTTCAGGTTTTCTTGTATTTAATTTGAAATGTCAAGTAACATTAAAGAATAGCATTTGATTTGCTTAAACAAAGTAGTAATAGCTGAAGTTCCTTCCAAATCACTTTTTGGATTCTCTAAGACGCTTGCCTATGCCTCGCAGATTAGCTCCATCCACAAAACATATTCTTTAAGGATCCAGGATCAGCAAGGGGTCACAATGTCCTAAGAGTTTCTGTCCCGGCGCTCTACCTGTCCTGCCCGTGCACCATGCTTTTGCCTATCCCTGTTTCTGCACAGATTTTAGTCTTCCCACCAGGGGCGCAACTATCAGTCTCCTCAGTCTCTCTCGGTTCCATTCCAATCTGCTCATCTCCCCTCCCGTCCCCGCTTTCCCCAAGGACCTACTGAGATTTCGATCCCACGACTTAGTGGGTCCCATCTCACCCAGACCCCGCAATCCTCGCCTTCTACGAGTCAGCGTAGTACCACACTCTGAGCAGGCACCCCTGTGCTACTCACGGAAGCGGGACCATTAGGTCGGCCATTCCTCCTCACCCCACGACACGCACCCACAGGGTCGGGCCGCCTCCGAGTCTCAAGGGTGGGCTAGCGTCAGGGAGAGGCCCCGGGAGCGCTTTCCCAACATTGGTCGCAGTCATTGCTGGTATAACGGCTAGAGAAGCCCAGTGAGTTAGGATGGAGGGCGGTAGGACCGGAAAAAGACGTGGAAAAGCTGCGAAAACGAGCCTTTGAAGCCTGCACGCGCGGGCCCAGCTCCTCATCCGAGTTCCTCATCCGGGGCCCTCACTCACATCCGGGGCCCTCACTCACATCCGGGACCCTCCTCCTGGGCTTTTACCCACATCCGGGACCCTCATGCCGCGGCGGGGTGAGGGGGCCCTCATTCTGGGCCCTGCACTCCGTCGCCGGAAGTGCTACCGAGAAGCGCCGGCCTCTGGGGTGTCTAGAGCGGCCCGGGAGAAGCTGTGGTGGCCCGGAGCGCGGGTGTGTAGGTGACAGGACAGCTGCCAGGCCCGCCCCTCCCCTCGGTGAGTACCCGGAAGCCGTTCTGGGGTCGCAGTGGGGTAGCCGCTTGTTTCGCCTTCACGGGAGTAGAAGGAGGCGGCGTCCGTCCGCGGGCGACGGTGGTTTGCTTCCCCGAGAGTGCGCGGAGGCCCGGGTGCGAGGAGGGCCTGTTTTTCTTCAGCCCTGGTTCATTCACCTCGCGGACCTAGGGCCCCGCCGTCAGGAGCCGGCGACCGTGCCCTGGTGCGAGCTGGTCGGTATGGCCCCCCTGGTTCTTTTGGGACTTTGCTTTGGCCTAAAAGGGAAGTGGGAGGAGGGCAGCGCCGGGCAAGGCCTTCTGAGGACCGAGCTGGGAGCCCGGTGAGGGCCCAGGGCGAGGGTGGTGGGAGGGGGACGGCACCCTCATGCGTCCTTGGGCCTGAAGGACGCCGCTCAAACCTGTTCGAACCGCGGCTTTTCCCTGCGTTGCTCTCAGGATTGCGGGAAAAGGCCGGCCTAGCTGGTCTGGGTTAGCGAAGGGCCTGTCCCAGAAGTGGAGTTTTATTTGCCAAGCCCGTTTAGTAAATCAGAGTGGGCTGACGGTGTTACCAAGACATTCCTAAGGGGGCTGCTGTTTATTTATCTATTTAAATGAGTTTATTTACGTAAACGCGGGCCTGTCACGGTGGTTCACGCCTGTAATCCCCGCAGTTTGGGAGGCCGAGGTGGGAGGATTGCTTGAGGCCAGGAGTTCAAGTCCAACCTGGGCAACATAGGGAAACTCCCATCTCTACTAAAACAAAATTAAAATAAGTGATCATAACCAGCGTTTTTCTCTGGGCACCAACTTGAGCCTCCAAAGAAAATTGTAAATTTTAAATATTTTATTTGAGACGGGCTGTCATACAGGCTGGAGTGTAGTGGCGCAGTCATAGCTCACTGCAGCCTCTACCTCCCAAGCTCAAGCGATTCTCCTTCCTCGGCCTTTGCAGTAGCTGGAACTACGGCCTGGGCCACCACGCTTGGCTATTTATTTTTATTTTTTGTAGAGATGGGGTTTCACCGTGTTGTCCAGGACGGTCTGGAACTCCTGAGCTTAAGGGATCCACCCGTCTGGGCCTCCCAAAGTGTTGGGATTACAGGCTCGAGCCACCCCACGTGGCCAATTTTAAATATTTTAAACTTTCTACAGAAAGTTTTACACTATTGAATTGTACTGTGTTGATTTTTTTTAATGCTACGAATTCCAAATTAGAGACTCCTCCATACTTGGATCATATGATTTGGTTCTTAAGTATTTAAAGCTGAAGCATATCCATATTTCTTTTTCTTTCTTTCTCTTTTTTTTCTTTGAGACGGAGTCTCACTCTGTTACCCAGGTTGGAGTGCAGTGGCGAGATCTTGGCTCACTGCAACGTATGCCTTCTGGATTCAAGCAATTCTCCTGCCTCAGCCTCCCAAATAGCTGGGATTACAGACCAGTACCAGCATGCTGGCTCATTTTTGTGTTTTTAGTAGAGATGAAGTTGCACCATGTTGATCAGGCTGGTCTCAAACTCTTGACCTCAAGTGATTGTCCCGCCTCAGCCTCCCAAAGTGCTGGGATTACAGGCCACTGCACCTGGCCCCATTTTTCTGTAACTTTTTTTTTTTTTTTTTTTTTGAGATGGAGTCTCGCTCTGTCACCCAGGCTGGAGTGCAGTGGCTGGATCTCAGCTCACTGCAAGCTCCGCCTCCTGGGTTTACGCCATTCTCCTGCCTCAGCCTTCTGAGTAGCTGGGACTACAGGTGCCCGCCACCACGCCCGGCTAGTTTTTTGTATTTTTTAGTAGAGACGGGGTTTCACCATGTTAGCCAGGATGGTCTCGATCTCCTGACCTTGTGATCCGCCCGTCTCGGCCTCCCAAAGTGCTGGGATTACAGGCGTGAGCTACCGCGCCAGGCCTCTGTAACTTATTTAGGGTGGTTAATCATTATCAACTAATTTTTATTGAATATCCACAGTGTGTAAGATATTTTGCAAAGTCCTGATGATATAAAATGATGAAATGTTTTAACTTATTACAGTAATTTCTCTTAATCTCACCTTGCAGTGATGGTCATTGTCCTCCAGAGCAGTGATGGAGGAAATACCAGCCCAGGAAGCAGCAGGGTCACCAAGGGTCCAGTTTCAGTCTTTGGAGACCCAGTCTGAGTGTCTGTCCCCAGAGCCTCAGTTTGTGCAGGACACCGACATGGAACAGGGACTCGCTGGGGGTAAGGCAGAGACAGCACTTCTATCTGGGAGAGTGGGAGTGTGGAGGGGCTCCCGAGGGGGCTCCTGGGACTGGTGTGAGAGAGGTCAAGAACTGGAATAAGAACGTGGTCCCTAGAGGGAGGAATGAAAGCAGGGGCAGGTGTGACTCAGTTCAGTCCTAGTCTGAGCCCTTTTATTAAGGACAGCTCATCTTTCTTAAATAAGCAGAGCGATGGCTACTTACTCGCTGTGGTTGTTTTTCCTTCAGGCAACCTTCACTTCATCCCAGTTCTCACATCCGGAATAATTTCTAAAATATGCTGCTTTTGCCACATCTCACAGTCCTTTCCTGGCTCTCGCTTCCTCTTAGATTCAGGACCTTTCCTTCCCTGGTTCCCTTCACTTAGTTTTGCTTTGCTTTGTCACCTGCCATCCATTCTGTTGTAACTGCAGTTTTTTGTGACTAGACTAAATTTGGTAAAGGAAGCAACCATTTAATTCCTTGGTTGGACACAATGCCTGTATGAATGTATATATACTGTATTTTGACTATGCAGTCACACTTTTCTGTATCGTATAGGTAGGTTGGTCTTTTTCTTCCTTTGTTTTGTAAGAGCTGTGTCTTAGATTGCCTGTGGTTAACCCTAGTGCCTGAAATAACTTGTGTGTCACCCACACAGATCAAGTGGCACAATGTGTAGAGTGCTGTGGGGGATTGTGGGACTGTAGAAAAGATTTCGAGGAAACAGATGACCCTTTCTTGTTCTTGGGGGCCTTACACACTGGTTGAGACAGTGCCCATTCACAAGAGAAAGGCTTATCAAGTGTCTAGAACAGTGTCTGGAAAGGGTCAGAAGTCTGCTAAATAACCCTAGCCCAGGACAAGTCCCCACAAGTCTTTATGCTTTGCTTTGCCCATCTGCAAAACAGGTATAGTCTTACTCCTCTGTAAGAGGACTGTCATGTGATGAAAATAAAGTGAAATACAAGCTTTCCTAAGAAAATCCTGTATCACAGGTCTAAACTTGCATAAGGCATGCAAGTACTGAGACAAAGCAGAGTAGACACAACCCAATACCTAAAAAATGTTCATTGGTTTTACTAGAGTATTGAGGAGGGTCCTGCTGACACCCCTTGGGCTGGAGAGGCCTCCTCTGAAAGGGAGTCCTGGGTTAGGGCTGCTCTCACCCTTCACTCCTTTCTCCTCCCTCAGCTCCACCTGTTCCCCAGGTGCCTGCTCTTCCCTGTGAGGGAAGCCCAGGAGACCAGGCAGCTGCGCTCTTGACAGCCAGGTACCAGGTGAGCTGAGGAACCCTTTGCATTTCCTCAGGGACTATTGCTACTGATGGAGTGTGGCCTCTCACTCATTCCATCTGTAGACCTTGCCTGGAATTTTTTTCAATAGCAGAATCCAGTTTGGGAATTGATCGTCTTCAGAGACCTGGACTTCACATAAACCAACTTCCCATCTCCCCAGTACCATGAGCAAACTCTGTTTTTTCTTTGTTCATGGTTGTGTGACGGGTGCTTATTAGATGTTTAAGGGTTATGGGCTTTATTCCATAGGTTCTAATCTGTTCTCCCTCCTCCTCAACGTAAGTACATACCGGATACCCTCTCTGTGATCTTCATTCTCTGGCCATGATGCTACAGTGTTCTCATTCCCTCACTATGATCTTCATTCTCTGGCCATGGTACTACAGTGTTCTCATTCCTCAGAGCAGCCAGGATGTGTTATTTCAGGAGTTTGTGACATTCGAGGATGTGGCTGTGCACCTTACTCGAGAGGAATGGGGATACCTGGACCCTGTTCAGAGGGACCTCTACAGAGAAGTGATGTTAGAGAATTATGGGAACGTGGTCTCACTGGGTAAGGACTTCCTTATTATTTGGTTTATCTATTTGAATTTCTTTACTTTCTTGTTTCTTCATAAGTATAAGGTCTCTGAGAAGGTCTGTAGAGTGTGGCTTAGATTCCAGATCTTAGAACCTCTGAATCCTTATCTTTCATGTCATCTTCTCTGGGAGGGATAATTAAGGTTTGTTTGAGGGTGCCAAGAGGAGATATTCTCCTCATCCCCAGTTCATATTTCTGGCCATTGTGGGGCATCTGTTCCCTTTTAGCAAAGGGAAACTTTCTTGTGCTTTGCTTGATTTCTCACTCTTCTCTCTTCCATTTTTGTAGGAGAGACCCCAGGGTGGCCTCCCAACCTCCAACTGGACACTTTCCTCTTTGGTATCTCAGTGTCCCTGTATTGGAGAATTGGAGAATTTCCCATTTTTCCAGGAAAAAGAAATGCCGTTTAAAAAGACAGGCTAAATTCCTTCTTGCTGAGTAGTCCCTCACCCCTTAAGATCCCCAGATATATCTCCAAGCAGGCAGAACTTGAGATGTCATTTGAAGGCATGACTCACTGTGAGTACATTTCAGTGAGTCACTCAGAATGGTAATCCAACGTAACCGCACCCAGGGCAGCAGAAATCTCAGACGTTTACCCCACGCTGAGGTGGGGTCAATGCTTAACTCATGTCTCTCCATTGTCATTTTGAAAGGTATAGTAGGAAGCTGGGATTAGGCAAGCTGTAGTGCTGCCGGGAAGCATCAGTAGGGTTTGTCGGCAGCTCCCTTGGTGTGAGCATTGTTCCTTTCTCTTTAGTTTATTTTTTATATTATATTTTTAATTTTATTTTATTTTTAGACAGAGTTTCACTCTTGTTGCCCAGGCTGGAGTGCAATGGTGCAATCTCAGCTCACTGCAACCTCTGCCTCCCGGGTTCAAGCAATTCTCCTGCCTCAGCCTCCCAAGTAGCTGGGATTACAGGCGTGTACCAGCATGCTGGCGGACCTAGGGCCCCGCCGTCAGGAGCCGGCGACCGTGCCCTGGTGCGAGCTGGTCGGTATGGCCCCCCTGGTTCTTTTGGGACTTTGCTTTGGCCTAAAAGGGAAGTGGGAGGAGGGCAGCGCCGGGCAAGGCCTTCTGAGGACCGAGCTGGGAGCCCGGTGAGGGCCCAGGGCGAGGGTGGTGGGAGGGGGACGGCACCCTCATGCGTCCTTGGGCCTGAAGGACGCCGCTCAAACCTGTTCGAACCGCGGCTTTTCCCTGCGTTGCTCTCAGGATTGTGGGAAAAGGCCGGCCTAGCTGGTCTGGGTTAGCGAAGGGCCTGTCCCAGAAGTGGAGTTTTATTTGCCAAGCCCGTTTAGTAAATCAGAGTGGGCTGACGGTGTTACCAAGACATTCCTAAGGGGGCTGCTGTTTATTTATCTATTTAAATGAGTTTATTTACGTAAACGCGGGCCTGTCACGGTGGTTCACGCCTGTAATCCCCGCAGTTTGGGAGGCCGAGGTGGGAGGATTGCTTGAGGCCAGGAGTTCAAGTCCAACCTGGGCAACATAGGGAAACTCCCATCTCTACTAAAACAAAATTAAAATAAGTGATCATAACCAGCGTTTTTCTCTGGGCACCAACTTGAGCCTCCAAAGAAAATTGTAAATTTTAAATATTTTATTTGAGACGGGCTGTCATACAGGCTGGAGTGTAGTGGCGCAGTCATAGCTCACTGCAGCCTCTACCTCCCAAGCTCAAGCGATTCTCCTTCCTCGGCCTTTGCAGTAGCTGGAACTACGGCCTGGGCCACCACGCTTGGCTATTTATTTTTATTTTTTGTAGAGATGGGGTTTCACCGTGTTGTCCAGGACGGTCTGGAACTCCTGAGCTTAAGGGATCCACCCGTCTGGGCCTCCCAAAGTGTTGGGATTACAGGCTCGAGCCACCCCACGTGGCCAATTTTAAATATTTTAAACTTTCTACAGAAAGTTTTACACTATTGAATTGTACTGTGTTGATTTTTTTTAATGCTACGAATTCCAAATTAGAGACTCCTCCATACTTGGATCATATGATTTGGTTCTTAAGTATTTAAAGCTGAAGCATATCCATATTTCTTTTTCTTTCTTTCTCTTTTTTTTCTTTGAGACGGAGTCTCACTCTGTTACCCAGGTTGGAGTGCAGTGGCGAGATCTTGGCTCACTGCAACGTATGCCTTCTGGATTCAAGCAATTCTCCTGCCTCAGCCTCCCAAATAGCTGGGATTACAGACCAGTACCAGCATGCTGGC